CGTGTCCTATCAGAATCACAAACACACAGTCTTTTCTGGGAGTCCCTGAGCTCCATCATGTCATAGGTTCTTCTGGATCGCTGTTGCAGACATTTTTCTGCCATGGACCTGTCTGCTTTCCAGCTGTTTCAACCATGTGCACCACTCTCACCTGCTGTCTCTCTCTTTCTGCATCTCCCCTTACCCCCTCTCTTCTCCGGTTGCAGTAGTGGCAGATGACTGTCTTTCAGGAGTCTGGTTCTGCTCAAGGCCTCTGCCTCGTTTTTCATGACCACTGTCGGAAGAATTGGAGAAGTCAAAAAACATGATCCTCACAGTGCTCTCCGGCTTGTCCAGGTGAACATAGACATGGTTGAGCAGGATGGTAAAGGCATCCTCGAATCCAAGGCAGGGCTGGTAGGTGAACTTGAGCAGATCCAAGGGGTCTCTCAGCTGTTTCAGGATGAATCTCTCGAGGGTCTTTGTCAAACATCAATGCAACTGGTCTGTAGTCCATGGGTGTTCTCTGCAGGAATGGGCATCATCTGCGTCTTCTAATTTCACCACTCCCCGGCCTGAGCATGAGGATGGAGAGGATATGGCAACAGCAGTACAGAAAGACTTTATTGCCAACACCTGAGGCTGTCACCACATCATGAGGCAGAGTGGTTAAATAACCATCACACTCTTTGTAGTCAGTGTATAGATACCCAGAGATGCAGAATAATTCTTGTCATCTAGGCGAGCAACCAGTAGTCATCTACCCAGTATCTCTAGTTCAGGTTTATGTTTATGTTGCTGTCCTTTTGCGAGAAAAGAGCTTATTTTGTTCACACAGAGTTATTAAAAATGTTCATCGTGAAAGGTCAGTATTAATGCTCGGTCCTGTCTAATGGCTGGATACAAAGAGAGTCTTATGAAAACATCATTTAATTCAGAATTATATTTTTCCAAATACCTTCTCTGTTACTCAAAGGAGGAAAGGCGTGATGAGAGAGACATGAGAGTCAGGACTCCAGCTGGCGGTGAAAAGACTCTTCGTGTTTCGGGTGTGCTGTGTTCATCACATTTTGCACACCACAAACTATAAAAACAAAACTGTTAAATCTGTCGTCATTTGTCATCTTGGGCCTAATGTTTTCAAAATTGATTCAGACTTTAAACATTATTTGGTGTGGGCCAGGCTTTAGGGGCTCTCTATAGAGCCGAAATGCTCTGTGAACCCCCTTAAACTTTACACAGATAATCTCAACTTTTTTCTTAGAATCTCCTCACAAGAAGCCACTCTTAAGATGAAAAAGCTTCATGAATACCAGCTCTGGAGTTCTTCTATATATCCATAATGCCACCTCACATCAAACCACTTTATCAGCAGGTATACAAAAGCCGAGGTTTTCCTTTCGCTACTTCTTATATTTCATCTCTTTTTAGCCCATAAGGTATGAGGCAGTAGAGTCTGTCGCCTCTCGATCAGGAGGTCGGGAGTTTGATCCCGATTCCTGCTGTCCACATGCTGAAGTATCCTTGGACAGGACACTTGACTCCAGCCACCCCCACTTGCTCCACCCAATGGTGTGTGAATGGGATCAAAACAGACTGTGGTAAGTGTGTTACAATGAATAGCACTTGAGTGGTCAGAGAATTAGATAAAGTGCTTGTTTTTTTATATTTACAAACAAATAAAGGTTTTAAAAGTTTTTTGAGACTTTGGTCAAACTTAATTTGTAGGCCAGACAAGAAAGGAGGATTAAACCAAGGCAAGAAACTTAGAGGGCACAGACTTCCCCTGCATCAAAGATGACAGAGACTCCTTCTCAGTAGCACTACTGTCAGACCCAGCTGCTTCTTAATAATGGAGCTGCACCACCTACAGTGGATGCAGTGCTAAGTGGGGTCTCAGTCCTGAGCTGGCCAAAAACCCCACACATGATGCCTCAGGGCACTTCAGAGAAGCATCAATTAAACTGAGACAATTTTCATGGCTTTTGTAGCAAAGCTTCAACACAGAAGTGTTTACTTTCAAAGCGAAATATGGCCACAGGGCATGAAGCCACACGCAGTTATGGAGGCCAAGGAGGTGATGAAGTGGAGGAGGTTTACACAGGAGGGCATAGAGCACAAAGCTTTTTGTAAAGACGAGGAAGAAAGACCACCAACAATAGGAGCAAATTCCAATCAGTGCACCCCATGACAAATTATGAATTAATACAAAGAATTGGGTATTTTACATGTCCTTAAAATTCAATTATAACAGCTATAGTTGTGTTTTTTTTTTTTTTTTTTTTATCAGGAAAACTTGATGAAACTAAACTTTTCTACCCTTGGGCAGAAACAAAATTACATGTTCTCTATTTATTAAAGGCAAATTAACCCCTAAATTAAACTGTTATCGACTGATTTTGATGTTATTTTGAAGAATTTAGCAGAAAGCTGCTTTATTTTCAAAGCAAATCAAGGTTAATAAGAAGAATGACAAACAGATTTCTTAAGTTTCATTTTCTTTGAAAGGATTTGTTCAAGACGGACTGTAACATCTAGGAAAATGTGAAATCGGCATAAAGTGATGAAGTAGTTGAAAGATGGATGGATGATGGATAATTATGGATGGGTGAATGGATAGATGGATTTCTGATTAGTAGGGCTGGGCGATATAGGCTCAAATCAATATCCCGATATATTAAGCAGTTCACTTCAATAACGATAAATGGACGATAACTTCTCCACAAGCTGCTCACCCCCTCCAACATTAACTTCCTCTACTTCAGCCACCACTACAACTTTTGAACCGTCCTCCATCTCCTCACCTGTCTTTCCCTCTTTGTTACAGACTGGATGGGGTGGAGTCACGTCTCTGATGTAGGACAGCATCTCAAAGGGACATGAGACCATAGCCTACCTACACACATCCAAAACCAACTTTTTTCATTATTATTTTTTGACACTGAATATATTGGTATGGACACAGTGACGTCAGTTATTGTCGTAAATTTTGGTATCAGTAAATTTTCTGTTTATCGCCCAGCCCTACTGACTGTCAAGGGGATTGGTGAAGGTCCACAGGGTCATATCTGCACATTTCTCTTTTTTTGCTGTGATCAGCAATGGTCTGATTGTGACAAATAAACCAAAAGATGATTCTTCAGTCCATCTTCAGATCTTTACATTAATAGAGGAACTTTTCTCATACTTGCTGTATGTGATACAGTGAAAGCTTCATCTGAATTAACATTAATCTTGCGATAAACCTCCTGCTTTATCTGATGTTTGTAATGACGGTAAAGATTACTTCTTACAGTGAACCCAATTATTTCACAGTTTATAAGACTCAAAAATAATCCTGTGCCCTTTGTCAGCATGATGTTTGCTAATCTATATTCTGTTAATGAAAAAATAGTCATTGCAGCAGCAGATAGAGAATTAATAAAACTTCACTTCATGATATGTTACATTCAATCATATACTGTGAATATCTATATAACATATTTCATATTCTAGATACATGAATAAAGTCAGCTGTTACTAAATATATCATTAAAGGTCCTGCACACCCACAGAGGTTTTTCCATTTAATCATTATGTTTGACCTCTGCTGAGGTGGAGCTGGGTATGAAACAGGTCAACACAAGTCATCAGCCATTAAATATGAGAAAAGAGTCCAAATCTAATTTGATGGTGTTAGTCCTGAACAGATTTCACACACAACACCGCTAAGAGGAAGTTAATTGGGTGTGAAGTGGAAATACCTGTAGGAGCGCTGCATCTTTGACAAAAGGACAGTTACCCTGGACAGGAGATGACATACGCTGGTTGCAGCAAGAGGAAATCAAAACTCAGTCATTCACTGGTAGAAATAAGAAGTATGTTTCAGTGCACATGGAATAGCCAGAGTGCAGAGATCAGATAAATAAACGTACACTTTGGCTGGGTGAGAGAAATAGTTCCAGTCACCAATTACGCCCCAATTTTTCATGATTTGTGATAAAGCTGTACTTGAGGCATGGTCACTGGAGTGACACAAGCTCTGACAGAGGTACAGACATTCACTCTCAGTGCACAAGCCTGGATGGCCCTCAAAGATCTTATTATGTTTGGTTTTGACCCTTATGAAGGTGCAAAGTGCCCCTCACCGTGGCAGGAAAAAGCTGAAAAATACAATTTTAACATGTTAAAGGTTAATACAGCAAATGGATCAGCAAAGGGACTCTTTCACTAGAAGATTTGAAGCAACATCTGTGTGGTAAATATAACTCTCTCCTTAAATCCTCATTATTTCCCCTTGGTTTTAAGAAGGATCTTAGTTTCCTGTTAGTCAAGACAGGTTCTCCTAGATATCTTTCCTCCAAGAAACATTTGAGCAGCCCTTGATCACCCTCGTGCCTGAGCCAAACATTGAGTGGGTATTTAGTTTTAGAGTCACGAACTCTTTTCTGAGAGTCCCTGTGCTCCACCATGCCGTAGGTTCGTCTTTTTCAACTACGTGAATCACTCTTAACTCCGTCCACCTCTCTTTTTTTCTCCATCTCACTCTATCCCCTCTCTAAACCTAGTGCAGTAGCAATGGATGACTGTGTCAACGAGTTCGGTTCTGCTCAAGGTTTCTGCCTGTTAAAGGAAGTTCTGAGCCGGTGGTTGAACAACATGGATGCATTGCCAGGAAGTAAACAAAACCTCATCGGACAAAGAAAGGATGTAAAAAGACGAAACATTCCTAACAAACGACATAGAGCTCGAAAAGTGGGATCCCGTTAGCCTCTTGCTAACATGTTTTGCTGGCTGTTTGGCAACATAACACATCAACATGGAGATGACCTGCTATTAGCTGAAAGGGGAATTTGCTGCCTAGCATAGCAAGGGCGGACAGTCTTCTGTCAATGATTGGATTTTAGCCTAGTGCATGTAAGCTGGGATAATGATAGTAGTCCCGTTTAGCGTGCATATAAATATACTGACTGTAGCTGGCTAAATGCTGCTAAGTGTTATACTCGTGGTTAAAGAGTTGGTCTGAGATTGCAAGATGGGGCTTGGAGTTGATGTCTCTACGTTCCTTGGCTTTTGGGGATTTTGAAGAACATTTGGTCATTGAAAAATAACTATAAAAGTTCCTTATTCTTCGATTATTGAAAAGGATTAATAACATTTGTGTTTCAACAATACTGATTCCTGTGAAAAGCCTTGATCTGAGTTCTTCTGGCTGCATTTCTATAACTGAATTCTGTCACCTGGACCTCACAAACTTTCATGATTGGCTTTCATGGCACAATTTAAAGAAGCATGTCCACATCAAAATATCTGAGATTAACCTGAGAGCAAATGTTGGCGTCTCCTCTCCAAGCTGTCTCAAATCAATACAGAGCTGTATCACGCTTCAAGCATTGGATATTTTAGAATTAATATTGACAATACCCTCACACAAACACAAAGACAGCTGAATGATTGCATATTCACACTCATTAGCAGATAAACCGGAAAACGCACCCTGTCGATTCCAACAAACAGAGCAGCCTCCTGTCTAACAAGAAGATTCCTTGTGCTGATAGTGAGCAGATTTGTGGATATGGGCTGAGTAACACTGGGCTGTAGATGGCTGGTGGCAGACATGGGACTTGAAAGGCCCTTCTTTGGTATGGAAATGTTGGCTGCAGAGAGCAGATATGTTAAAATATCTAACTTTCACATGGAATGCCAGGGGCTATTTGGACATCTGCTGTGTTATGTGCAGCTACCCAGCCTTCCCTAAACACTTGGGAAATCAACATGCACACACTTCAAATAATATAAGCATGGCTCTGTGGTCAAAGCACACAGAAATGCGTTTAAAGGAAAAATATGTCCAAAAGAAAAGACAACCTGACCATGCAGGATGAAAACCTGGTTTATTTTATTTTAGTTCCCCAAGATTACTGGCCAATTATATCTGATGAGATGTCATATGGAGACATCGAGTTGTCTTCGACATGGACTGTAAATATCAGGTGTCCACCCCTTTCAGATTTAAAGACAGATGTCCTCCTGTGCTGATGTGTAACAATCATTCGGGCAGGAACCCATCAGTCAAGAGGCAGAGAGACCTGCTTCAGCACTGACAGCAGACTTAATAGACTAGAATGCAATGCAACAGCCACAAGACATTTGTGTTCGACGCCCTCACTATCCTCACAGCTTTCACTCCACCCACCTACGAGAATAACCCACAGCTGATCAGAAATTCAGTGCAGCCATCTGTACAGTATGGGGCATTTGAGGACACTGAGAAAAAGAACTGCATGAACCGGACTCCTTTATTTTACTCCAGGTGAGTTTAGGAGCCAAAAGTTGTTTTGAAAATGAAGAGAAATCCTAATTATTTGTGAGCAAAAAAGATGGACACGTTAAAGTGGATTTTACAGCTGAATTCCCTTTATTACCTAGCATTCCTACTAATCACCCAGCTTGATTCTGACTGGTCAAAATCCAGTGACAATCATGATATTGGCATGTGTCCTACCTGCTCAAATAGACACAAGGCACCTGTGTGCAAAAGTAAACTGTACCCTGGCCAGACACAACTCTCCACCACTGCAAACCCCAAAGTTTAAACTCCATGGCGCTCTCCATGGACACAAATGCATATGTAGTTATTTGACTTTTACTTGGATGAAAGTTGAGGCCCTGTCCTTCACTGTAGCCCTCCCTATCCATCAGAACCCTCAGTTCTGCATGGATCTACCTGTTCCTGAGCAGAGTAACAAGGTCTACTTGTGATGCAGTGTGTAGAACTAGCAGGGGCATGCTAGACTTCTTTTTGACTGGGGTTCATTGGTGCTGTTGCCTGGTTCTGCAGTTTTCTGTGCAATGCTGTTCGGGTTGAGGTTCATGATTTTACTGAGCATGAAGAGAGCTCTTATGTACATCCACCTTACAGTAGAGTGACAGTACATCTCAAGTCAAATTACAAAAAAAACATTATGTAACTTGTAGCCTAACTAGTTGTATTCAGCAGTGCATAACTACAAACCTCAATTCCAATAAAGTTGGGATGTTGAGTAAAACGTGAATAAAAACTGAATACAATGATTTGCAAATTCTTTTTTAACCTATATTAAATTAAATACTCTACAGACAAGATATTGAATTTTCAAACTGATAAACTTTATTTATTTTTTAATGTTGAACTTGATGTCTGCAACTTGTTCTAAAAAAGCTGGGACGGTGTCGTGTTCACCTCTGTGTTACATCACCTTTCCTTTTAACAACACTCAAGCATTTGTGAACTGAGGAAACTAATTATTGAAGCTTTGAAGGTTGAATTCTTTCCCATTTTTGCTTAATGTACAACACCGGTTACTTAACAGTCCAGGGTCTCCCTTTTGGAGACAACAGATGAGTTTGAAAATCAAATATAGGGGTTGTAGTTGAATAACAAAATACATGGACATGGTTGTTTCATTTAAAGAAGTAGAACAGATTATAATCGAATTGGTGGCCTAAGACACTTTCAGCATGCTGTATGTGTTACTGTGCCAAATTTAGAGAAATACCTCCCTCTTGTGTTTGGCATTAGTAGTGCGTGGAGATAACAAAATTAAGGGTTGTGAACACCACCTGGAGCACAATGAAGTTAATAGAGCACATAAGGAGGAGACATTTGTATTATTCTTGTATTATGAGAATATTTTAAGAGGTCTCTTTGATACTTTAACTCTGGGTTAGGATTATAATGTCTGTTGTACATGTTACATTAGAATTCTGAATTTATGGCAAATGTATACAATTGATTGCATTGTATTGTGCACTGCAATATCTATTCCACACATTGATTTAACCATTTGTTTTTTTATTTGCTTTTTAATGGCAACTCTGTTCTCATTTTTCCCCTTGAGTTAACCAATGGTTAATACATAGAGTATACTGCTCTGTTGCTTTTTAATATTCCAGTTTTGTCCTTTGGTGTTACTTTGAATTGACATCAGCACATCAGCACTTAATGTCACAGGCCCAAAATCTAAATGTTCTCCAAACAAAGGTCAGTAATGCTTGAGTTCGAAAAGTAGCGAGGATCAGAGAGGATCCTGATTAACAGGCAGTCATGGTGATTTGCAATGCTCCATTGTGTCCAGCAGATGGTGCTATGTGTGCCACCAAAGAAGTGTTTCGTCTCTCTGTTTTACTGTAGGAATTATTCAAACCATACACACTATAAACAATTAACTGTATATATCAACCTGCTGGGCATTTTTCCAATCACTGTTTACAACTTTTCAAACAATTTGCCTCTATTTTCACATTTTTAAGAGTGAAAGAGTTAAGAACACATCTCCGTATTAGAGAGGTTGAAACTAGAGAGAGGTTTACCACAACGAGACACTGCATGAGCAAATTTCTCAACAGTCTTTGATCATTTTCTTCAGCCCAAGATTTGGGGGATTCCATCATCATCATTTCTTTAAATGACCCCAGAGAATCTTAAATGGATAGCCCTGACCTTTAGGCCCTCAGGCTGCAATGAAAACTGACAAGACTCTGTACTAGAAATCACTGTATTTGCTCCAAGAGTCTTTGTTCATAGACTGTTTCTGCATTCAAGAATCCAGGTTATAATGTTCCATGGTGTCTAAAAGAAAACTATTACCAACAGAAGTCCTTGTAAGTCTGCACTTGAGCATGCTTTAGATCACAGCTCCAACACACCTGATTCAAATGATCAGCTCGTTATCAAGCTCTGTAATGACTGAATAACGAGCTGATCATTTGAATCAGGTGTGTTGGAGCAGGGAAACATCCAAAACATGCAGGACAGTGGGCCCCGAGGACTGGACTTGAGAACCACTGCTTTAGATGGTCTTTTTTTAGAAATCATGGACATTTCTTTTTATAAATCATGGACAATGCTAGCCTGGCCCATTTGCCAGCACATAATCACTTTTGCCATCAGGTGAATTTGTCAAGGAATGCCAGGCAAGGGCCCGGCTTGTAGGAGGGGAACCACCCCTAGCTTGTTGTTGGTGCACTATTCAAAAGCTGGGATCTGTGATGGTATGGGCTGCTTAAGCACCCATGGCATTAGCCATCTGGGAAAGGCACTATAAATACTAAACATTATACAGTTAATAGGCTTTGGAGCAACATATGCTGCCATCCAGACACCACCTTTATCGGAGAAGACCTTTGTTATCGAGATAGTCAAACAACAGTCTGCACGGCTTGGCTCAGAAGTAGAAGAGTCCTGGTGTACTTAGCCTACCTAAACTCCAGAACTTGTCCCCTTGTTTCCCAAACATTTTCAGCACGTTATCAAAAGAGGTGTTGCATTCACTGTATTTTTCATAAACGAATCATAATGGTCACTTTTTGTATTGATATGTCGTATATGCAATATTTCCTATTAAGATTGGGTTTCAAGGATTTGAGAACATTTCCCTTTCCTATTCCTAATTCCAAAAAGAAACTTTCCCTTAAGTTTGCTGTGAGAGACCTTAACCAGCACCAAGCTTTACTCCTATACCAATCCAGCCCACCTTGTCAACATTTCATACTACCTCCTCAGTCCTCAGTCTTAGACCATGCTCTCATAGAACAGATCCCTGCCAAGTTTTGAATATCTTAAGACACAAAAATAAAGCCCCCAGGAAACAAAAGCATGTATTAGGCAGAACATGACCATCTTTATTATTGATAGTTCAATTCACCATCAGAGCTCGTAAATTCTTCTTTAGATACAAGAACAATTTATCAGGGAACAACAGAATTCAGATTTTGCACACAGAAGTCTACACTCATTCATTAAACAATAAATAAAAGACTGGGTATTTACTAGTTAGAAAAAAATACATCTCAGAGATGAGAGACAGAACTATGACAGTAGAAGCTGGAGATGATTGTTAAACACGATGCAGGAGCAAATTTAGATACGAACCAAAGCACACCCACTTCAGATGAACCAAAGACTTTAGTCCCTTATTATTATTATTATTAAGAAACCAAAACTGTATAAGATACACTTAGTGAGAACTTGTGAAATTGATAGCCAGCTTTCAATTTTACTTCAACTCAAGCCTCCATTGTCTGCTCCCTATATCCAACTAAGGAAGACATCTTACTATCTACAACAAGAAGTGAGAGGGAATAGTGTGCCAAGAGTTTGAAATCAGGGCTCGTATCCATCCTTCCTCCTTTAAAAAAATAGAACTATGTATCCTGAAGGCCCATTCTAGTCCACACTAGACAGTCACACCCTCTACACAATCATCAAGGTATTCCACACAGTCTTTGTACAACGAACTCTCTTCACCGTGATTGAGAAGATATGACAAGATGGAAAAATGAAGATTCTTCAAAGACACACAAGAGAGAAGTCACACGTGTGAAAGTGAGTCACTCGGTTTACACAACTCAGACTGCCACTGTTGTGATTCTTAACACTCTCAGCAAGCCTCAGTCTGCCTGGAGATTTCCTATAACCACAGCTGGGAACATTTTCGGACCATAAACAGGAATAAAAAATAAAATAAAAAAAGTATGCTAGGGTTTGTGCACAAAACTCATTTGGGTATAAGGTGGAATTTTAGATTCACTTAATCCTGAGAAAAGTTTCTTTTATTATTCAAGTCTTATGATAATGTGCGGTTGCAGTTTTCTGAATTTCTTTTTTTTTTCCAACAAATTACTGATATCATCAAAGCTGCCAAATGACATTTATCTATACAAATGCAACAACGGTCAAGTCATAAATATGGCCGCTTACAAACTGTTTGGAAGCATTGACATTTTCAAACTTTAAAATTGGGATTCTCATGCCTATATTGTTTGCATTTACCTAAATGTAATGTGAGAATGCTAGGGATGCTAGGAAATGATCAGCAGATATTTTGAGGTTCTGTCTTATAGCACCAATTGAACAGAATTCCCAAACTGCTCGATCTTGCATTGCACAGTGCATCAAAATCACATCACACTTTGTCCCCAGGCCTGAACCCAAGTCGAGCTCGAGAATGTTCCAGTGAGGGGTTGTTTTTTGGCTCAACAAAGCTCCATCACGCTCAAAGAGGTATCAACCGTTCTTGTTTTAATGATTCTGCATTGTGGGTTGAGTGTTTCTTCTATATATCCTTTTTTGATATGAGGCAGTATGAGTCTCATGTAACCTGTCTGACTAACACTTCCACTAGCTTACATGTAAATGCTGTCTTTAAGACCTGTGAACGACAACACAAACCAAAATTGACACCTTTAAATGATATCGATGTGATAAGCAGATCAAAGATTTTACAGCCTAACATACTGCTGTTCTGCTAAAACTAGATGAGTTGATTTCTTTTTCTTCAGGGGTCTTCTTAAAGGTTTTTTTTAACACAACAGCACATCATTTCGAGAGCTGAAAAGAGGAGTGCTAGTTTCGCAGTCCTTGTGTAGGTGACCTTTGTGTATATGTATATGTGTGTACGGGTCTTTTAGGAGGTCCAGCGCCACCACGCCACCTTCATGCGGTCCCAAACAGCCTCTATAGAGTCAAAAGCTGGGCGTACATCCAGAACGGAGAACTGGAAGGTTTCTTTATCGATTTCACCATCATAGTAGTCAATGACGTAGCGCACCTCCTTTCCACAGCGGTCGACGATCCAGTCATGGCGGTCAAAAGGCAGTTCATAGCTAAGGACAAGGGGACACGGGTGGGATTAGTCATTTGAACCAGCACTTCAGGTTTTTAACAGCAGCAAAGCAGTCTTTAAATACAAGAAGACGCATCAATCAGCGCAGCCAGAAACACATTTTAAAAAACTGAGACTTTTAGACATAACGACAGAGGTTCATTGCTTTGTGAGTGGCTGCGTAAGCACAAGGGCTGGGATGATATGCTTTTCTCCCGATTCGATTCTTCTACGATTTTTTGGATGCCAATTCGGGATCTTTAGTCTACATTTTTAACACCAGTGAAACAGTTGAATGATTATGATTGACTACTGACTATACCAGGAACCATATTTTCCCCAAAAATACACATCATATGTAAGTCAGTTTCTAAGATTTATTCTTAAATTTTAAAAAAATTCTACTTTTGAACAAAAAAATCTATTTAAAAATTGTAAAACAAAAAATCTCAATACTTATGTGAATCGATTTTTTCTCCCACCCCTAGAAGGCAAATTATTCAAAAATTTAAGAATTATGTTCATTTGTGAAGAATTTGGGGTTTTGATTATCTACAGTACATAATACCATTTAAAAGATCAGAAGAATCCATGCACTGCGTTAAAAAGGACATGACTCTGTAGTCGAAATCACTGTGTGAACAGTTTTTTTTACAAAATGCCTTTTCTTAAAGAAGCTCACCCCATCCAGTGGCGGACGCGAGCCCTGGGTGAGAACTCTTTGGCTTTCCCACCAAACCTCTTCAAAGTCGGTCCGCATGGACATTCCCTGAGCGGAAAAGAAACAAGATAAAACACTCTTAAGTTAACCATCGTTACTTCTATGAACATGCAGGTGAAGCACACACAATATGTTGTATTGATTTACTTTTGTTTGTTGCTGCTTTTAACAGCAACATTTATTTCAGAATGATTCTAAGGTGAATTGAGAGCTGTAGTCTTCATTATGTCAGAACAGTATGAGAATCCACTTACACTGCATGCATGGCCTCCCATTTCAGGATCTCCTGCCAGGCCTGCTCGTTGTTCCGGTTGTGAATTTTAATGATGTTGGACATGTCATGAGCAGCAAGGTCATCCTCCCGCCAGCGCCAGCTATGGCACAAACAAGGGAATTAGATCACATTAAGACATTTAATGCTTTCAATTGTGTGAATGTGGTAACCATAATCTTCCAACAAAGCTCTTTTTAGGATTTGAAGGATTACACACCAAGGGTTAAATCCATATCAAGACTGTTTCGCTAATGAAATGAACAAAAAGGTAGATCTACAGACACAATGCCTTTCAGTGCTCACCCATGTCAAACTATGAGTGGGTGGCTGTCTGTATCTACTCTGACTTTAAGCAGTTTTCCTTAATTTGCTGTGTATAGGAGGTTTCTGGGTGTTCACCTTTGGAAAGGGGATTTGTAGCCTTCAGCAAACAACAGGATGCAAGGTGTGAGGTCAAGACACAAAAAAAATATATTGTAAAAACAAAGGGAAGTTTTTGACATTGCTGGGCCAGGGGAGGAGTCAATCTTTGAGGTTCTGGTTCTAACCATAGTGACAAAACGTACTTAATCTGCATCTATGCTAAGTGTCTATAACACTGTGGCTGTGTGTTTACTGACCCTTTCCGCAGCATGGCGTTCCAAAACATCTGTTCAGATGGGTAAACCCAATTTTTTTCTGCGTTGTGACGAGGAATGGTCGACTCCTCTCTGGATACAGACAGGCTGAAAGGCTGGTCAGGTGCTGGTGTTTGGTTAGGAGGTGGCATCTGCAGAGAAACAGGGGTGGCAAAGAAAATAGTTTCGCAACATGGAACTGAAAAAACAGGATTTGTGATGTTTAAATCAAAATGAAAACAAGGTTGAATTTGTTATATGATTGCTGTTCATCAAATTCTCAAATTTAACATTTGTTCATAAGTGATTATCTTACTTAATTTTTAACATCATACACTATACCCCAAGGAAACATTCCCTCGAAAGTGGTGAGTTACCATGTTTGCAGGGTCGATGTCACTGTTCGCGCCTGCTGCAGCTTTCATGGGGCACTCGACAAACTCATAAGCCCGATCTTGGTGAGCTGGACCTGCTTCTGCTTTGTGCATAGGACATTCTGATGGAGGAGACACTGGAAGAAACAACAGCACCTTAGTTAGGCATGATGGAAAAAACAGATCTAGACAAAAGACGAGTAATCCCTTTAAGTGTTTCAATATGAACTATGAGAGGCAATGCACTCTTACAGTGTTAATAGCATGATACTGATCTTTCAACAGTTACCTTTCACAGGTGGGGCTTGATGCATGGGGCACTCTGAAGGTGGAGACACTAAAAAAATGCAAGTTTTGATAATGTTAGCACTTATTTAAAGGAGTAAATATCAAACTGTATAACAAAGCAACATGACAAAACAGATAAGAGCACAAGCAGCAGCACCTTTGACAGGCTTGGCTTCTTGGTGCATAGGGCAGCCCTGAGGTGGGGCAGACACCATGGCCTCTGCCATGACTGTGGGAGCAGCAAGTGTGGAAACGGCGGATCCCATCCTGTCCCTTTCTGTAACACACACATAGAGACACAAAGGGCGTGAAGTTTGTCATGTTATGTCACATTAAGTAGAGTGAATCATGAGCTGAAATACATGGAACAAGGTTGAAAAGATGTGAAACACTTATAGAGACACTTAAAGGCGTAAAATGAAGTAAGGGTCAAACACACTGGAACACCGAGTTAGACACCCCGTCGAGAAATGAATGTTGCCGACTGCTTGCTTCTCTAGTTATACCAACTTTAGTAACGACCACAGGATAGCAATACACAGCTGTCTGAGGAGCCATAAACAAATCTCAACCAAAACGCCACTCTATAGCCACAAATAATTCTCAGAACAACACCTAACTTCATCAACAGGACATATAGGGTCCCAGCCACAGCACTAGCCACAAAACATCTTTTAAACTTTGTCTGATTTCTTTAGCAAAGAACCTAAACACAAATCACCCACTCTCTTCCAGCAGCCGCTTGTTTGAAGCAAGACCTCAGGCCAGTCCATTACGGACTTCAGCGGGGTGACGCAGCTCAAGGAAGAACATTTATGATCATTTCTTTATCATTTCCTTTAAGTATTAATCACCATATTAATCATTTCGCACTGCAGACGTGGTCGTTCTTCTGCCTTAGCGTCTCGGTCTGGTTGCATTTCCATAAAGTAATAATCATAAATGTTCTTCCTTGAGCTGCGTCACCCCGCTGCAGTTTATGGACTCGCCTGGAGGTCTCCGTACAAACAAGCAGGTGCTGGAAGAGAGTAGGTGAGTTGTGTTTAGTCTCTTTGCTAAAGAAATTAGGCAAAGTTAAAAAGATGTTTGGTGGCTAGTATTATGGCTGGGACTCTATATGTACTGTTGATGAAGTCAGGTGCTGTTCTGAGCATTATTTGTGTCTATAGAGTGGCTATTTGGTTGAGGTTTGTTTATGGATCTTGAGACCGCTGTGTATTGCTATCTTTCAGTCGTTATTAAAGTTGGTATAACTAGAGAAGCAAGCAGTCAGCAAGATTCCAAGAGGGTTCAGAGAAGTTGTCCTTCTCGAATAATGCTGTGGGAGGGGGGTTCACCCCTGAGGTTGACACTGACAGACTCTTGATATGCTGAGCTTATGCTACTTTTGACTAAATATGGGGTTTAATGTTTTGAAATTTCTCACACGCTGTTTCTGTATATATTTCAAATAGCATCACCTTTTCAGAAAACAGTGTGGCAAATAAGCATGTAATTATTTACTTTGGCGTATGTACAGAATATTTTCAACAATGTTCAGCACTACTTGGACATCCAGAAACTCAGGTGGGCAACTACTTTCTCTCCGAATACTTACCTGTTAGCTGAGAGCTATTATTGTCTCGCTGTAAAAAACTGTAAAATTGCTCTTAAAAATGCAGAGGAACGTGTTCGTTACGTTAACCTGACATTCCTTAGTTACAAACAAACTTTAAAACGGGAAACAGAAATACTCAAAGGTTTCATCACACAGTGTTTATCCTAAAAGCAGCCAAACCTCATGTTGGATAACAATAAGAGATGAATGATGAGGTCCTCCTATTAGACAGGTACCTGGGGCTGTTTTGGACTTCATGTCCCAGTGTACCGGCTGTTGTTAGCATTGATCAGGACCCTAGACTATCCTTAGGTGACCTCAAGTGAGTGATGGCCTGAAAGCTCTGATCCAACTAAACCTGGCTAACTTAGCTAACAACGCCGACTAACAACCTGGCAGCCCTTCTGTGAGTCCCTAATTCCCCGGAGATTTGTTCTGGGATTGACATTCTATGGTATTACGAAAATGCAAAACAAGTCTGCTAATCACGCTAAGCAGATAAAAAGCTCTCACTACTTTAATTCACCGTTAACCAGACTGCCTAGCGGCTATGCTAACGTTAGCTGATATGACTGCCTTTTATGATCTAAGAATTTCAGTCTTCACAGAGTCATACGCTTACGATAAATACGGGACATCTTCATTTGGTCTCAGCCTCTTAACAAAACCTACAATGATAACATTTAGGTAGACATTGACAAACGTACCTTTGAGAGAAGTCCGCTGTGAAGTGTTGTCTGTCGGGTTACTATCCCAATGTCAACGTGCAGGACAGACGTTGTTACCCAGAAGGAGTTGCACAACTGAGCCGAACGTAAGTCGCAACGTCATTACGTCCTCCACAGAGCTACGTAACCTGTGTGTAACTGAAAACAATGATTCTCATACTCTTTTATTTTACGTTTTTCTACCCTTAACACAACTAAACTCGCAATTATAGATCCCGTTTGATTACATATTGTCCCACAGTCAATTATCGATGTTTATATTTTTGTTTAAATAAGCTTTATTATGAAAAGTGTTTTGAAAATCGTGACCATGTCTCTATAGTATTAAGGTAAGAGTTAAATAAATTACGGTGAAAATGCTGAAGTGGACTGTATGGAGGACCTAACAATCTACTGGTTGGACCTTTGCTGGTCCCTAGTCTCCTCTGTGAGAACCACAAATATTGGTATGAAACAAAGAAGTAATAAAACAATAAACTTTATAGAAATGCATCAATTCTATCGTCTCAAAAAACAGCCTGTTCTTCATAAAGCTTCATGAGGCTATTGAGTGACTGCAATTTTGCTTACTTCTTGCAACTAGCACAACTCTAAAACTGGTACTTTCACAATAGCTTTATTAGACTTCAACAACCTGTTGTTTTAAAGTCATAAGGTAAATGAATTATGTGTACAATAAGATTTTGTAACCACGTTTTGTAACCTCAAAAAAGTCCTACAGACAGCATTGACTACATGCCTACATAACTGCATTGTCCTCTTGTTACTAAACGAAGAAATCCTGTATTATAGTGGCTGACCACTAGATGACGCCAAGAACAGCTTATTGGAGGAATTTGTGACGAGTAGTGTGGTCACAGTAGTCCATCATGTAAAATGTTCACTGGCTTCTTACACTCCCTAATGTACAGCCTTTAAGCTTAGTTGAAGGTGATTGAACTCAAAGAGATTGTGATAGTAATTCTTTTAAATATATTTTCCTCTTGCGTCACAATGGTGTGGATTTTCCAAAGTGTTGTTGCTGTGACCTTTGACATATATCTACAAGACCAATTGAAACAGTATATTAGGAAATTATAAGAAACTTCTTGGTTAATGTTTGTTTTTGTATTTGTGGCCAGACTTTTATTTTTTAGTTAGTGTTTACAAGTCATATAGAGAAGGGATGTCTTTCTATTCACCCGTATTTCAGTAATAACCTGTTTTTGATAATCCATTTAGTCCTGCCTCAACCTTGCTCAAACCCTGTGCTGGAATCAAACCCAGAACCATTTCACTGACAGTCAGAAGTCTAACCATTTAACCACAGGACTACCTGATAGTGCGCTTTAAAATAAATAAATAAATAAAATAAAATAACTTTTTTTATTTCACTATTCAGTTATACTCTTCAAAAGCAATTCTCAAACAACATTTGAGGAAGTTTTTTTTTTTTTTTTTTTTTTTTGTGCCTCGCATGGACAGACCTACCAGCCCTAACCTATTTGCAATGATATATCAGCGCTTACCTGCCACACTAAGGTGCTGCTTTACATTTATTTGGTCAGGTATACAGCTGCACAGTGGTGTTCTGGTTAGCACTGTTGCCTTACAGCAAGAAAGTTAATGATATGAATACCTGAGGCCTTCCTGTGTGGAGTTTGCATGTTCTCACTGTTTCTTGCAGGTACTACAGTTTCCTCTGATAGTATCTATTTCCTGGTGGTATCTATTACCTTAGTTTACCATAAGGAACTAAGGTGAACCATAACTCTCTCTCAGTAAGGGTGGAGAGGGGTTACTGAGCTCTATACCCTGAACTGGTATCTTTATGTTGGCGCTACTCAACTGAGATAGTGGTCATACCTCAAAATAATGCTTACATGTAGTTCACTTATTATTTTGTGTATAACTTTTCTAGTTATCAGTAGTCAACTATTTGTTAGGTTGACTGATTTTGAGTTTGCCTCCCAAAATAGTAGTTGATTAAGAAGAAGAAGAAGAAGAAGAAGAAGAAGAATATTCCTTTATTGATCCCCCATGGGAGAAATTTTTTTTGTTAAAAAAAATTAAATGTTCTCTTCTTTCATTAAAGCTGCACTGAGAAACTTTTAGTTGATGTTGATATTGCTGCTTGTGGACAAAGTGATATCTCAATGCTATTGTTCTGAGCATGTGAAAGTGGTGTTTTGAGACAAAAAAAACTCTCGTTTTTTAACTTTTTTAAATTAATTTTTTACTAACAATCTTTTTTTTTCTATATGTAGTCCAGAAAGAGTTGTAAAGCAGCTCAAATTGGATAATATTTTACATGCATATTCTCAAGCCTGTTTACGATTAATCAGTAAACCACAATACACAATAAACTTATTATCACATTCCACAGGTTTTTCCAAAGCAATGAAACAACCAACTTTACTGGTGCTGTTTGAGTGTATTTTGTACCTTTCAAAAAATATATAAAAAAACAAACAAACAAACAAACAGTGAATTGTTCCAAATGTTAGCAGAGCAGACCTCTATAAACACAATCACTGGAAAAAGACCTGACTGTGGGATATTACTCGGACACCAATAGATATTGCTTTGGGTTTGGCTCTATTATTTGTTTGTGTGTGATTAATCTGGGTTCTTGCTGTGCCTGGAATGAGAACAGAAACTCCGCTCAGAGTAAAAGGTCTCCTTGAAGTATTGAAGGAGAAATCCTTATTGCCGTTTGAAGTTTTCCAATTCAGTGGTCCCAAATGAAGTTGCAAAGCTTTTATTTTCAGGATTAATGGGCATCAGCTGCTTTAAAATTGCAATACTTTCTCACAAGAAGCAATTTAAGTTTTTACAACACGTATAACCTTTTCCTCTGGAAGATCAAATTCCGGCCCAAAGCCTTGAAACCTCCTTAACTGAAATTAATTAGCTTGAGAAACTTTACACCATTCGCGCTGATTAATACATGGCTTTTCACACAAGTTGCTCCATCCATGTTGAACAGATTGAAGCGGAAGGGTTTCCTAATTTGTTCCAGACCTCTTGCACACGTACAGGACACATACAGCATGTCAGGGCCAAGACTGAAACTCTTATCTAATTCTGACTCATGGAGACCTCATGTGTGTGTCAGAGGGTTGTAGAGGTATCGCCTGTTAAATCTGTTTGCGGATGTGTATTCTGGTGAGTCCATGTGTGACTTCCTCACTGCTGTGACACTATGGCAGTAAAAGTTTTATACCCTAATCACACAAAGTGTTCACTCACACAAACATTTGACAGCTGCTATTGTGTTAGTCTAGTTTCTTTACTTAAGTCATTTTGAGGTGTTTTCGGACACAAAATCATCTAGCATGTAGCATGGCTGCTATTAGCTATTGAGCTACTGCTAATATGTAACAGTTGCTATGCTAACCAGTGGCTAGTCTGAGCTGTGTCAGCCTCCTTCCAGCATTATAGACAATGGTGGAGATTCTATGCTCCCTGTCATGATATGTTCTCTTTGAGTTAGTCTTTCCCTGGTTTGGGGTTTCCCTGGAGTCTATTTTCTTGTTCCTGTTCTCCTGTAATCCAGTCTTGTGAGTTTTCAGTTTGTGTCCAACCCCGGTTCCCTCATGTTCTCAGTGTTTTATTCTTTATATTTGTTTTCAGTGTTTCCTGTTTCATTTTGAAGTAGTTTATCCCTGTGTTTCTAGTCTTGTTTTACTTCCTCAGTTTTCACTCCTCTGTAATTGTCTGCACCTGTGTTTCAGTGTCTCACCTGCCTCTCGTTGCTTGTTTCTCCGTGTGTATGTATAGTCCCTGTCCTTCCCCTGTTTCCTTGTTGGTTCAACGTGGATGTGTGGTATGTTGTATGTCTGTATGCTAGTGTCCCCTAGTGATTTTTTTTCTCCCTGTGTCTTTTGTTGAATTTTGGATTTTGGTTCTTGGGATTTTGCCATTTGTGTTTCTTGGGATTTTTGAGTGGGACAATTTAGAAAGTAAGTTTTTGTTCTTTTAGTTCCTTTTTAAATGAATCATATTTTGATCTGCATTTTGGGTCCCTCCCTTTTTGTTTTTACTCTAGACTGTGACAGTTGTAACACTCCCAGCAATCACTGTAGCTTGCCATCCATCCCTATAAGGGTTCACCTGGCCTGTATTAAATAAACAGGGATCACTGCACCTGTTTCATAACATGCTGTGCAATTTGTTGTCATATTCAGTGCATGCGAGATGTTTTATGTGTAAGTACTTGAGATTTTAATTGAATTAAAGTCTTCTGATCGTAAACCACTTGATGTTTTCCCAAACTCAAAGAAACTTCCCATAGTTTAGGAGCTTTAAAGATTCTATAAAGTAGGTATCTCTAGTCTGACTGTAGCCTGACTTTGATTTTTGGCTGTTGAAAAATTTGAGGGAAACTATTATAGCTTGGAGAGAAACAAACATGCAATATTTGGTATCTTTTCCTCTTGGCAGCATTTTGCTGTTATTGTAGAAAACTCCCATCACAAAGTGCCTTGAGTTTATAAAACAAAGCAAAATACAGCAAATAAAACCAATCAAATCAGCAAACATGTGATACACAGAGTCAACAGTAATGGGAATAAAACAATGCCAGTCATACTCCTAGGCTTATTCACTCACTGGATACCACTGGGTTTTGTAACCAACAAGAAATCTGGCATCTCATTTTGCCCCTTTTTTTTATTGTCTGAATAAAGAGCACTGGGACTCCCAGAAAAGACAGTGTATTAGTGAGTCTAATGGGACATGGTGATTCAAAATTAATAGATGAGAGGTTAAGAGGTGAATTCAAAAACACTATAAATGTGACAAATCAATTTCTGTGGATTTATTTGATATGGCGTGTGATCTGGCTGTGTGATCTGGATCAGTTACCTTTGTTATGTGCTATTAACCAATTAAAATCAAATATTCAACAGAGGCAGGCAAGTAGAAAGCTGCAAAATGAGGCCAAATAGTGATTGAACCCAAAAATATGACCGGCTGTTTGTGTGATAATTGATCAGTGATCCAAGGATATGCCCTGCGATGAACTGGCAACTTGTCCAGGGTGTCCCCTGCCTTTGCCCGAAGATGCTGGGATAGGCTCCAGCACCCCCCGCGACCCCTGCCAGGAATAAGTGGTAGAAAATG